ATTCGTTAACAAGGGATTTCCAAATTGAATATCTCTAATACTAAAACTTTCTTTAGGATTAAAAACTGAATGAAAGAAGTCGTTTAGCATGTTGACTTGTTCGTTTGGATTTGTGCTTTCAACTTCATCTTTTATGAGTAACTTAGGAAGACTTGTATGTTTATTCAAGTTCTTTAGGTGTTTAAAAATTACATTAGTGTTCCGTGTTCTAAACAATTCCTCTTGGTAGTTTTTCCTGTCCACTTCCGATGATTCAGTTACTAAATTTTCAAACAGTTTAACTTGTTGTCTTCTGTAGTTGGTCGGTTTGAGTATACATGATTGCCGTTTTGTTTGTAACTTTTTGATCAAATTTGAAGTGCTACTTGTTATCCAAGGTGGAAGTGATTGCCTATGTCTTGTTCTGAGAGGCACAAAACTCTTAATGATTTCATCCAAATATTGGGTGTACTCCTCATGCATTTTGTTAATGTTTGTGTGGCATACTGGTTCAAATGGGTTCTCGTTTATAAAATTGTTTATTCCTTCAAAATCGGCATTTCCAAAACTTCTAAAATTTTCCAAGTATGGTTTCGGCTCTGATACCGTGCATTCAATAGACAACATTATGGCATTGTGATCTGAGCAGTCATAAATCTTGGAAACGTTAAAATCTTGTTCGGCACTTGTATAGCAATTCCGATAGAAGGCTACGTCTAGTATGTTCTTCACACATGTTGGGAAATCTATCGCCTGCCTAAAGAGTCCATTTTCAAAAATTTGCAGTATTTGGTTTTCTTCCTCGTCAGTACTGGTGAGGGTGTTCCAGTTTGTTTCTGGGAAATTTAAATCCCCACATAAGAGAAACGGTTTGTTTTTAGGAATGGCTTTGATCAGTTGTTCAAATTCATGCACTTTGTATCTGTAATTACTGTTTTTTGGCGGATTGTAGAATGAGCCAATTATCATTTCAGTTTGATGAAGTTTTATACTACATAGCACACATGAATCAGGAATGTCATGTTTGGTGGATAAGTCCTCGGTAATTAGACTATTCTTGACAGCTATTAGGCTGCCTCCGTGACAGTTTTTACCACTCACAATAGCTCTATCAGATCTATAGATGTTATATTCACTTAGAAAAAGCTCTGATGATTGAATATTCTCGTTAAGCCAAGTTTCGCTTAAGCATATGACATTAAAATTTCCAACTGCAATTGCATTTGCTAGCTTAGTTCTTCTCTCTATGTTGATTAGGCTTCTAGTATTTAGTTGCAGAATGTTGAGGAATCCTAGTCAATGCTGGGGTTCCTGAACTTCAGTGTCAATAGTTACTTTCACACCATCATTGAACAATTCTAGATTCCTTATTTTCAGCTTTTCGCGAGGAACGCCTTCATCTAGTAGTTGTCTTCGTTTCTTAAGGATTTCGTTCTCTTTAATTGCACTCTCTTTGGTCAATGCTGGTAGCAGGTAGACCTCTTTTTCGACCAATTGTTCTCGCTTTTCTCGGCTTTTTGCTAGTACTAGTCGTGCTTCATGTTCGCTAGGTACAGTTACCAGCAGTGTTCTTGGCTTCATTCGATTACGATCAAATTTTCCCAGTCGTTTTAGTTCTATTATTTTCGGCTTCACTCCAATTATGTCTAGTATTTCGTTTACTTCGTCATTTGTTGGGACAAGGTTTTCTCCTTTTGTTTTCTCAGGGTCCTCTTTGACCCCTTGTATCCTAAAACTTTGATTTATGTTGTGATCAGAGTTAGATCTGGCAGCATGTTGAGTGGTTTGAGCTTGATTTATCCGGGTGGTGGTTTCAGCAGCTACAACGGCACTATAAGTTTTTTCCACTTTATCGCATGTCGTTTTCATTGCATTTCCAATTTTTTGATCTACTAAATCGGTAAGTCTTCTTTCCATGCTTTTAAGGCTTTCAGTTACATCAATGTTTGAGAGCTTCTCGTCTATGTTGGCCAGGGTTTTGCATCTTATAAAGTTGTCTCGTTCATTATTTTGCACACAAGTATTACAAAGCAACATGACATTCGGCCCTAGTTCTTTTATTCCATTTATGGCCACTAGAGACAACCCAACACAAGTTGGTTCCAAATGCATTTGAGCGTTGCATGCGACACAAGTGTATGTTTTCTCGTTGCTGGCAAAGCCTCTTTTACATGTTTTGCAGTTTTTGCCCATTTTTGCTTATACTATGGATAGAAAAACAGTTAAGCCTGGTGGTTCCCGAAAAGGGGAGGCCTGTGGCTCACTCAGGGGAAAAGAAGAAATAGACAAACCTGGTGGTTCCCGAAAAGGGGAGGCCTGCGGTTCACTATTTCTACTTACGTTAATAGGGGCACTGACAGTTCTTAAAACGACACTCGTAATATACCAGATGTCCTTCTGTATTGCAGATGTTCGAATGTTTATCGTATAAGATTTTATTCTTGAGAATACTTTTAATGCCCTTCAGACCTTCTTCACTGAGGTGCACTTCGTCAGTTTTCAAATGATATGAGCTGTGGATTTTTTCACTCACTCCTCTAAACTTCCAAGTTCCTTTTATCTTTCTTAGGAATTCGTTTATTTTTGCAGATCGAGCTCGGTTCTCACTACGATGAGGGATTCCGATGACGAAAACTTTTTTGGCTCGTTCACACAGCTCCTCGGCTAGCTTCGACAGTTCTTCAGCAATGTCGCCTGCAGGTATACTGGAGGGGTCTTTTCCGTTGAAGGCGTCGTTTCCGCCGATGAGCAGAGCGATGATGTTGAATTTGTCTTTCTCGGGTAAGAAGTTTTGGACCGCACCAATTCGGGCCCCAGGTAGGGACAAGATATTGAAATTTGGAAAATCAAGATGGCGTGCTTGAGAATCCGCAATCAGGAGATTTTTTGAAGATGATGTCTTGAGCAAGTGATATCTTCTGTCGGACAATTTCATCGCGGGGCAACCATTGCTACCCCGGTAAACATTTCAACTATCTATTTAATAATATAAAGGTTTGATCCAAATGATCGGTATCAAAGTCACTGTCTTTTCGTTTTATGGTTTTTGTTCCTTTTTCTATACTTTTTTCTTGTTTTTGTTTCCCTAGATACCCCCCCTTTACTCGGTTAGCTAGGCCTCGTTCGGAGAGCGTACCAGGAAGTTTTCTCAAGTTTTCTTAAAAAGCTATCACGGTACAATCGGAAGGTTTACACGTTCCCGCTGAACCGTACCACCGGTACTCCAGAATGGGCATGCAGCCCGGAGCTGTGTCAAGTTGGTTCGACTCCGTAGTCATGATGTCGTAAAAACACCCAGGAGCGCCAGAAAAACACTATGTAACAGTCGCCTACTTCAGTCACATATGAGGCTTAAGAAAAATAGGCCTTATAACCATTGGCTCAAGAGTCAGGGACACTATCTCTTGTGTTTTTCTACCTCAAGAACGGTCAGAGCCAATTCGGTTCGCTTGCGACATGAGACTAGAACCCGTTACAGCTTAAAGGCTACTACCAAAATATCCCCCCACTCTAGAAAATAAGAACGTTCCCATACTTAGGTCTCAAAATACCCAAAAAACATGAACGCCGTTAAAAATAGGATCGGAACAATCCGTTAAGTTACTTTTTATTGGACAGTGAAACTTTGATCCATTTCAGATGGATCAACCTAAAACTCGCCTTATCTCAACATAACAATCATAAAACGCACTCGAGAAATTTAAATTAGGGACTCACATGTTGATGCACTCGAGTACAAGGTGTAATTAAATTGGCAAGCAACTCAAGAATTAGGTAATATAACTAGGTAAGTTTAATACTGGTCAGTTTTGGTAACAGAAGTAAGTTCTGGCTCTAGAATTGGAGTTTTTGTATGAACCATTGGGACACTCAAGCAGTCCATTTTTCCATTGAAGGTTCACTCTAATTTGTTCCGAATTGTTGTTCTCTCTTCTTTTTATTGTCTCTCTTCCTATTTCGGGATAAGACAGCTCTACTCGTGTCCTATTTTATATCTGGAAATTGCGAATAGCAATTTCCTGCTGTTTTTCTTGAGTATTTTCCCGCAATTGTAAACTCCGATGTTCTGATTTTTCACTTTTTGTTTTCAGTTGGTACGAGAAAACTGAGCATGACAGGCTCCATTCGAAATTTTGAAAATTAAAACTTCACTCCAAAATTACGTATTTTCGTATCTCTCAAGGTCAAACTTTCAGACATGACCGACTGGCACAAATTATGGAGTTGTTTACCTGCCTTTTGCAGCGGAATAATCTTCGCCATTTCGAACACTTGGTATGGTAGCTGTTGGTGTCGATATTTTAATGATCTCTGTTAGGTTTTGTATGGCGATTGTGCCCAGATGGTCCAAGTGAATGGGTGCAGTATGGCGGATGTGATCAATAAAATTAGTATTTTGGTGATATAGGCATTTCGTTATATGAAACTGTTTAATAGTAAATTTAATAGTGCACTAGCTCTGTTTTTAGGAGTGGGCTCGTTGTCTGGGGATACTGAGACCCAGCCATGAGTTCAATAATTTCACATACAACTAAGTTATTTTGCAAGGCTCAGTTGATAGCCTTAACACTGTAACGAGGTTTGTTGACCCGATGTTACGAGGACCATGTTGAACTGGCTATGGCAGAGACGGTCAAAAGCACGTAAAACTCTATTTTGACGCTAGCCAATCATTATAGGATTTAGTTTTACTCTCGGTTGTTATGTACTTTCCGGTCGAATGTTACAAACGCAGTCACAGCATCAAACCAGTAAAGTGTATAAATTAATGGAAATTAATTCATATTACAGATTGGTTTCTTATTTAACCATTTTTGGCCGAATAGAACAGTTTTTTCTGTTTGTGGTATTTAGTCATAATCTGATGTTCTCATCTCAGTATCTTTTTTAAAATCATTTTACTGATTTTCTTGCTCCAATTAACGCAGTTTTATTTAAGCAACCACGTTCTTTCTTCGAGCAGCTTTTATTTCCTCAGATTTTCGGACAATTTATTTTCCTTCCTGAGTACATTTCAGAATCGACTATGTCTTATCGATCAGCCTACTCGAGCAGCTACAGGTACTTATACCATTTTTCCGAGAAGAATCTTCATACTTTATGTGGATGTAGCGTAGAATGTTTTGACCGCAGTGGGCGCTTTTTCTTTCGATTTTTGTTTGATTCTTTGATTGGAAGTTTTGAAAATAAGCATCACAAAAAAGGTAGCTTACTAATCTTCTTGTTTATTAAATGAAAGTCTTAATGCGATATGGACTTAACGTTTTAATTTTTCTATTGAGCACAACGTTAAAGAAGGCTTAGATCAGAAAGTATGAAAGTTTCAGTGCAACCAGCAAGCAGCTGAATTTTAAGAACTTTCAATTTTTCTTAAGTCTTTAAACAAGTTGAACTTGTTCATTAATTTTCCATGAAAGGAATCAACTAAAAACAGCAGCCACTATGCTTAGAAAAACTAAGTTTTAGCAGACCGATTCGCGCCGTGAAATAACTTAAAATGTTCCAGTTTCATAGCAGGAATAGTTTGCTGAGAAACACTCAAACTGTTCGCGAACCGATTCATTCTATGATAAAATCGGTTTTTTTTTTTCAATAAAATTCATCGGCTGAATAGCTCCAATTGAAAACTTAAATGTTTCCGTACCTCTCCGATTCTTTTCGTGTCTGATGGGATTCATTTTAGTCAGAAGAAAATTAACTAAAAACAGCAACCACAATGATTAGAAAAACAAGATTTTAGCGAACCGATTTGCGCTATGAATTAACTTAAAATATTTCATAGCTGGAATCGTTTGCATAGAATTTTTTTTTGCGAACCGATTCGGTCTATGAAAGAACTTAAAAGACCTTGAAATATTTCAAAGTGTCGTAGCTGGAATAGCTTTTTAGAAAAACTTACTGTTCGCGATCTCTTTCATTCTATGAAATAACTTGAAATTTTTACATCAAAATTTCATCGATTGAATGGCTGCAATAAAAAAACGTTTCCCTACCGATTCCCTTCATGGAATATTTCAAAAACTCATAGCTTAATGGCTTGCTTAGAAAAAATTGAACGTTTCGAAAACCGATTTGTCTATGAAATAAGTTGAATTGTTTCATCGGTTGAATGGTTCCAATATACAAATCTAACTTTTCTCTAATTTTCTATGTTATTATTTTTATTATGATTTTATTATAAAGACTTTGTGGTCTTGCCACAGGGAAGAGATCCCAGTTTATGACATTGGGTTGGTACGAAATTGTTCACACAAGCACTAGTATATCCAAGTACATGGATTGTCTTCTGTGAAGTTGGCTTCAAAATTCCTCCACTTCAAATCAAGTGTTCGCTTCTTTGTTTTGGTCGTTGAAGAAATCAATTTGTTCTGCAGGATATTAACCCTCAGTCCAGTTCTGTACTAGAATTTTTGTCGTTTTTCTTCATATTTCGGCGCTTCAAGATGAAATCTCCACTTCGTCCATTCTTTCAGATTTTGATGTGGTCTGTAAAATTGACATTGCACTGATTATTTAAGATGTTTTTTAAAAGTAGGATGTCCTTTAGCACTTTGAAGTAAAGCGTTGGTAACAAGTTTGACTTGCGCATTGCTTTTTAATAGTCTGTACTGATTATTTAAGATGTTTTTTAGAAGTAGGATGTCCTTTAGCACTATGAAGTAAAGCGTTGGTAACAAGTTTGACTTGCGCATTGCTTTTTAATAGTCTGTACTGATTATTTAAGATGTTTTTTAGAAGTAGGATGTCCTTTAGCACTATGAAGTAAAGCGTTGGTAACAAGTTTGACTTGCGCAATGCTTTTTCATAGTCTATATCACCGCAAATCCATTTCATGATCCTATTTAATTTCTCGATAAGCTAAGAATTTGATTTCTGAAGTTCCCAGCATTCTGATGCGTAAAGTAGAATTGGGTTCAAAATGGCTTGATATAAGTGAGATTTACTCCATATCGGGAGAATTTTTGAAGTATTTTGTTTCACTAAAATAGACGCTCGATTGCTTTGTTCACTCTGAATTTAACATGATCTACCCAATTAAGATTCTCATTGATTATAAGTCCAACATCTTTTGAATTATTTTTTATGCAAGATTTGTCTGCCATTCTTCCAACTGTTTTCGGGATTATTTTTTTGCTCAGTGCTTTTTTAATTCGACAAAAGAACATTTTTTGAGATTGAATCGTAATGCATTTTGCACACTCCAGTTATTTAGATTGTTGATGTCACTCAAATTATTTTTTCTTGCCTCTGAAGGCAAGCTCCAGGTCGTCTGCAAAAAAAAAGCGATAGGGATTAGAAAACAATGGTCGGGAGGTTGTTATTGTAAATTAGAAATAGGAGTGGTCCCTTGACCGAACCTCGGGGACACCTGATGTGATCGCTCTTTCACTTGATTTACTCGTTTACTTTTACTTGTTGCGTTTCCCCGTCAGGTAGTCGTTATTGAGGCTTAGCTCGTTTTCTATCTGATCTTCGATTATTTCTTTCTGTGCGTCACCAAACACATGGCTTTCATGTGGGTAAAAACTAATAAAATTCTCTTCGTTAACAATCGATATAATATAATTATTCATTAGTTCCGCTTTAGTCTTGTCCGTAGTTTCTTCTCTGTTGGTTTCTTTATGACGCATTTTAAAAGGTAGGTTGTTTTTCTGTAGACTCTTATGATGCTTGAAGATTCTTTTCATGTTTCTTCCGAAAAATAGCTTTTCTCGTGCTCCGCTCTATCGGATGATTGCAATTCGTCACAGTTGGTTTCAAGCTGTTAGTACTATTTATCTTAATTTGAGCTATTACCCTTCTTTTGTATCTTTCCACGGAGCGTCGAAAGTGTGTTTAGTAAGTGCGACCTTGGGGGAGTTATCCACGTTGGGAGATTCTAACGTCTCTTTGTCCTCTTAGGTGTATGTCTTTCAACGAGTTCATGTATCCAGTCATACCACAACTGTATAATAACTTCGATATTGCTGTAGCAGTAAGATTGAAACTTGTTTCTGCTCATTTCGGTGACGTTTCCTGGTAGTTGCAGGTACAGTAGCTGTAATAATTCTCTAACTGGCTCTTCACAATCAGTTGGTTTGAGTTGATGTAAAAAGATAAAGGATATTGATCCGAGAATCCTTCCATGGACAAAACTGGTTCGATGCCGTGGATGAGAGTTTCAACTGACGTTAAGATGAGATCTAATATTCAGGATTTAGTAGTCCTGAAAGTTACATTTTGAGTCAGATAAGTTCAATTTTTAATGAGATGAATTCTTCGTCGTACGCCGGCTCGTTCCGTATGTATCCATTTCGATTTCGGGTAGTTAAAATCTCCGGCGAAGATTAAGTTCAGTGGGCAAAACTCCTTCAAAAGTTTGAAGATGTTTTTCATATCCGATTGAGTTACTCTGTATGGACTGCCCGATGATGGATTATGCAGAAGTGAACCAGAGTTTATTTTTGCGACTAATTTTTAAGACTTGACCGACTCCGGTAGGAAATCATTGTTCAATATGGTGGTTTTAACTGCAATCATTACACCGCCATGACACTATTTCATTTGTAGTTGGACTATTTGACCTCGCTATGTTGATCGCCGCTTTCACTTTCAGAAGTGAGCCAAGTTTCAGTAATAAGCAGGGCATCAAATTGTTCAAATGAACAAAATCTACAAATTTCAATCGTCTTAAAAGGCTTCGTGTGTTATAGCAAGATTTTCAGGTTTGATGATAGTCAATTGACTTCCTCCTGGAAGTCAATTGTCTTTCATTTCTTCTTTATTTTGAAAAGACCAACTGGTTCACGCAACGTGTAAATAAAATTTTCTGCTTCAGCTCCATCCTTTTTCTTTGCGTTTTCAATCATTGCCTTAATATATTTCCTGCTTCTGATTGAATAATCTTGCGAGACACTTAATCTTCTGTGGAGCTCATCCGACTATTTCAAGTTTCTGAGGTTCTTGAAGATCTTGAATTTTTCGGAGCAATCCACAAGCACTACCTTCAGTGGCCTTGGGCTTGTTTGGTTTTGATTAGTGTTCTCACTGCTTCTACCTAGCCTTATGGCCGTCAAAATGGATGGTGTTGCGCTGCATTTCAGTCCTTTTCTGCAGAAGTATTTGAAATGATTATTGTCATGGATAATGCGTGTGTCCTTGTCTTGGGAACTGCTTTCACGTACATCGAAAAACACAAGGTTGCTTTCTCTTTTTTCAATGTCTTAATTTTTCTTTTTCTTGTTGTTCGAGGGTTTGCTACATTATTGTTTTCAAGTTTTTGGGTACAGATTTAGTAGTTGACCACGATGACCTTAATTTCAGCTGGTATTTTGCCCTGTTCTTTTGTTTTGTTCAGTTTCAGTTCAAGGTTTGTTTGAAGATTTGTGAATTTTCTATCAGTTTCCTTTTCTGTGACTGGGTTGATCGTCTGAATTAGGTCAGTTTTGTCTCCGATCTGCTCTTCAATCTTGTCCAATTTCAACTTCATATGCTCCTTAATATTTTCGGTGGAATGATGCTGCAGTGTCTTCTTGTAGTCCCCTTCACAGGCTTTGCAAAGCCATATTAATCCAGATATCTTGTTGATTGATGTCAAAAGATTATTGGCTATTCCTGAAGAGGATCCTGAATGGTCCAATCTTTACATTCTGCGGTACATTTCCCGCGGGGGGTACTTTGTTGAGTGAAGTCTTGTTTTTCTCGCCATAGCAAGGTGGAAGCCGCTCACAACTCGGCCCCTTCTAACCAGTGAAGGCTTTAGAAGGCATCAAGTTAAGAGTTGCAACCAATAAAATAAGACAAGTAAAGTTTGTCAGGAGAAACGAGCAAGAGGAAAATATATATTCATTTACCTTGTTTGTTTTTTCAGAGAGATTTTGATAACAGTTGTTTCACTCTACGTGGCCTCTCTTTTCCGACGTTTTTTTGCCTTTCTGAATCTTCTATTTTCTTCCAGAATTTCTTAGAGACTCGCTATTATTCCAAACAAATGACAGAAGTTGGGTTTCTAATGCGTAGGATGGTTACACTTGACTCAAGTCGGTGATAGTTTTCTGGTTCTTCTGTTTTCGATGGGAGAGTAGTTGCTTCTTTGCATCAATTACCAATTTATTGGTAGATCTCAATTTCTTCAGGATGATCCGTGTTCCGAAACAATGCACGTATACAATTGCTTCAATATTTATGTTTAAATCGCAAGAGAATGTTTTGCAGTTTTTGTGGGGGCAACTCTTGAAGTTGTTACTGCAATGTCTGCTTAATGAAATATTAATGACGTCGTGTCAGATAATTATCTTCCTAGTTCTTTCAAGTCTTCCGTTTGCCAGTAGGTTCTGAAGTATTTTCAGGGGGTTCTTGGCGTTGGCGGTGAAGCTCAGACCAGGAACCGAGAATTTTCGTCTTAGTAACTCACGCTTGTAATATGGAATACTTGATTGTGCTGTCCAGTGAGCTCGCTCCGATAAAAATACAATAAATGCCGGCCTCTGAAATCCGTCTTAAAAAGGGCTATATTATCCAATTTAACCGGAGTTTCAATCTGTTCTTTATTTAACAAGTGAACAGATTGAAATTGTTCCATAATTTTCTAAGTTCCATAACTGGAGTTTTTCAAACTTGCCTAGAAACTTTTTTTCGCAAACCGATTCAGTCTATGAAATAGGTTGAAATTTTTCAAATTGTATTTGATTTATTAGCTTGCATGGAAAATCTTTATTTTTTGCAAACGGATTGGGTCTATGAAATAAATTGAAGTAGTTCGAATAGCTTGCTTTCAAAAACTTTTTCGCGAACCGAGTGGTTGAGGGAGACGGCTTTGCTAGTGTTTTGAATGAAATGAGTTCTCGCTCGGCGCATTACTGAATATTTTTGTATGATATCACACGTGAACGGATTGTGTCTATGAAATAATTTGAAATGTTTCAAAGTTCGAATAGCTTGCTTATAAAAACTTAAACTTTTCGCGAACCCATTATTCTATAAAATTATTTGAATGATTTTTAAGTTTCATCGCTTGAATAGCTTGCTCAGGAGAGCTAGAATAGCTTCAAACAGAATGGCTTCATCGCGTGCAGGGCTTCTAAAAATCCCTTCATACAAATCCCTTGATGAATTAACTTAAAATATTTCGAAGTTTTATAGCTGCGGACCGATTCGTCCTTAAACTTACAATTTTTTCGAACAGTTCTACAAATTGACTTAACTCGAAATTGCTCGTAGTTTCATCGCTTGAATAGCTTGATTACAACAATGGCTGATTTTTTTGCGAGCCGATGGATTGTTGGAGAGGGGCTTGCTAGTGTTTTGAATGAAATGAGTTCTCGGCGAATTACTGAATATTTTTGTATGATATCACACGTGACCCACTTGAAGCTTTCTGTGTGGTATGTAAATGTACAAGAAAAACCCCCGCACGTCAATATTACTTCGCAATAAAAAACGAACCTTTAATGCATATGATAAGTTCATGTCAAATTCACATTAACAGGTAAAGTGGTTTAATTTGTTCGTACGCATTGTTATTGTAATTTATTGCTATGTGCTGCCAATCTAGAGGCGAAATACTGTTTGTAACTAAATTGTTTGTATTAGAAGTGGTGGTAGTAGCGGTAATAGCAACAGCAGGGGAAGCTATGGCGATCGGTATGGTGACCGGTCGAACTATGGTGACCGCAGAAATGACGCTGGAGCAGGAGCCGGACTGCGAGGGCCAAAATGGAGTACACGCAGTCTCTCCTCATTCCAAAAGGACTTCTATCAAGAGTCGCCCCTAACTGCGAGTAGACATCAGGTCAGCATTAATTTCATGCCTTTTTACATGATGGGTCAATCAGTCGATCAGTTATGTTTTTTTTTGTTTAAGGAAGAGGTTGACGGCTTTCTTCAGGCGCATCAGCTGCAAATGGAAGGCTCATTCATACCTCGGCCAATTCAAAGTTTTGACGAGCTAGTTGTCCCTGGTTTGTTCGAAATGAAGTTCACACTTAATATTGCATGAGAGCTAGATTTCTCTCAATTAATTTTTTACATGCTTGCTAGATTTCAATCGAGTTGAGTTGCGAGGTTTGATTATTCCCGAAAAAAATTATCCTATCCTTTTTGTCATCGTAAGTTCATCTGTTGAATCAATTTTTTTCTGATTTTCTTTTTACCATTAATGAACGTAGTGAGTACTCTTAAAAATGGTCTTGGTGTTTTTTTGTAAAACCTTATTTTTATTCCAATTTAGGACATCGTACAAATTCAAAGAACTAAATCAACGAAGTCCAATAATTACATTCTACCTAGGAGCATCAACAGGCCAAGGGCCCTCATATTATGCCCCTAAACATCTTTTTAAACATCAAATTAGGATGATATAATCAAAGCAAAAACATTACAGTATTAACTTTGGCAATAAAATTAAAACTTAATTTATGTTTAAACTTAACTTAGTTGTTTTGTCACTGTTTATTAGGGGCGGCCCCTGTCTGCGATGGGGTCACTTCAGAACTCATTATACTTGAGAATCTAAGTACACTCTAGAATGTCTTAAAATTTGTTCACGCTGAGTTTTTATTTTTCGCGGTTTGACTTTTGATTTCTTTTTTAGTTCAGTTCATTTCCTGTTAAAAAAGGAAAATTCCACTATCGATCAGCAAAAATGAAAAGATCTCGAAAAACATATTCGACTTTTAATTTCGAATACAGAACTTAATTATCAGTTTACCAGCGAAATATAGATTCTACCAATTGATCCAGTTTTCTCAAATTGGGTTAATTTTAACAAAAAGGCACCTATCATAAATTGTTCGTGAGACTCAGCGCGTTGAGGGCGTACTTTTTCGTTAACATTTGAAAGTTTTTTGGGAACGAAACTGCTTAACTGACCAATTATTTCCTAATGGGAGAGAATTCGTGACTAGGTAGTACAGGGGAAGGGGGGAAAGTTGACAAGATCCGTTTTTACGAAAAAAGTCAGTTTGTATAACTGCTTCATTGGGTTCATTACTCTGTCCAACAGTCAGTTGGCAATGTTTGTTGCTTGGGTATGTAAAGCTCAACTTGGGCTCTGAGCAAAAGAAATTTCATAATGAATATGGTGGCGTCTTCGTTTAGATTACTTGAAAATGCCCATACGCAAGAATGGTTTTACCAAGCCGACTCCCATTCAAGCACAGTCTTGGCCTGTAGCGTTGAAAGGGAAGGATTTGGTGGGAGTCGCCCAAACAGGGTCGGGTAAAACGTACGCGGTGAGTTTGTCGTGGCCAGTAATTTTTTAAACATTTGTAGCGCTAGAATACGATTAGAGATCGTTGATGCTGATTTTTAGTTTGTAGTTCCTGCGATTTTGCACATCAAGAATCAGCCACCACTTCAGAGAGGCGATGGGCCGATCGCGTTGATTTTGTGTCCGACTAGGGAGTTGTCGCAGCAGGTGGCGCAAGTGGCCCAGGAGTTCACAGAGACTTCTGGAGTTCGAAACACGTGTGTATACGGAGGATCACCGAAAGGACCCCAGATTGGAGCGCTAGATCGAGGTAAACTGTATACATAAGGTCCTACATTTTTAAAGCACTAGTATAATGACGCGGTGCTGCAGTTTTTTCTTGTGTTTGATCTTGTACTGTTGTTGTTTGCAGGGTGTGAGCTGGTGATAGCGACCCCTGGCAGATTGCTGGACTTCATGGAGTCCAAGCAGATCCGACTGGACAGGACGACTTACCTGGTGCTGGATGAAGCGGATCGTATGTTAGACATGGGATTCGAGCCACAGATCAAGAAGATCATCGAGTTCATCCGGGTAGAGTGATTACACTAGTGTCGCGTCAGCGTAGTGAATTATTTAGAACCTTCTTTTTTTCTGACCTGAGTCGCAAATATTTGTGCCACTTTTGGGTTACCTTTACAGCTTTTTGATAGAATGTGCTTTGACATTCGAATAGTAATAAGTTAACACAGTTGATGCATTTTTAGTTCATCAAAGGATCCGAAAAAAGCTATTTGTTTCAAACAACATAACAATATTAAAAACTCGTTTTCAGAAATTTTCTAACTCAATATATCTCGCAATTTTTTGAAATGCATAATTTATACAAAATATAGCTTTATGCTTTCTATGATTTGTTGTATGCAAGTAGTGTGGATGCCTTTACTTTGTTAAAATCCAAGTTATTACTGTCAAAATTATGTCTATTTGTATTTGGTGCCACTTCTGCTTAATAGCATTGGCAATTTTATTAGCATATGTAGCTGCTTCATTCGGTACTAGTGTTTGTCAGTGGCTTAGTGTGCGTGGCTGAGTGGTTAGTGCGTGAGACTCGAAATATCTAGATTACAGTAGGTCGCTGATCGAATCCTAGACCTTGCCGAATTTTTACCTATTCGATGCTTATTTCTATTTTTTTCTTGCACTTTCTAGAGCTGCTTTTTGTCGTGTTCTCGCTAGTGATTGCAAAGCGAAGCTTCGCCTCTGTGTTTGATATGGTTGCCGCATTGTGTGCTCAATATCATGGTTGCGAGCTCATTATTCGATGTTGGTTCTCACCCACTGTGATCTGGGTTTCCTCTTATTACACTGGGAATGGAGTGAATCCATACTGACCAAATTTCCAGCAAGTTTACAGGGCTACTTTTTCTGTTGGAATAGGTGAAATTTGAAAATATACTAAAAATGTTCGTCCTTGTCCATTATTTTCATTACACAAGCATAGCTTGTGTTATAATGTGTACTATCTTTCCTAAGTAGCAAATATTGTTGCGATGCAGTTGTTGCGTCAAAATGTGTTCATTTTGAAAGTTCTTTTTCATCCAGCTATTAAGTACAGCCAATGCTAAGGATATTAACACAAGCTATTATATCACAAATATCACTTTAGCTTCAAGGTATCATGGATCTGTAGCGTAGAGACAGGGAAAGAAACCAGCAACCTGGGGAGGGTCGGATGTTTTTAATGAATTTTTTCGTATACTAGCTAAAATGCGGCCGCTCTATAACTTGAGGCATGTTAGTAAGTTTATTTTTTTTCTCAAATTGACTGTTCCTGCCAATGACTGATAATTGGCTTGCGTCACTTAGCAATTATGTAGACTCATAATTGGCGTGCTTCACTTGAGAAATTATGTAGACTCAAAGTTTAACTCATTTAGTTTTCCCAGTAGTGTTATCGGTCATATTTTTGCTGGCGTATGCGAAGTGCAACTTAGCCTCTTTGTTAAATTTTTGCTTTCAAAACTGATATTCCTCAAGTTTCTATGTCAATAATATCTTTGATGGATGATTGAAAATTCACCTTGTGTTATTGTGGCGCTCCAGTAGTTTTTTGGCCCACCAATCGTGTAACTGCTGGTTCTAATATCACGTGCGGAACAATTTGCAATTGAGTTCTTGCAAAAAAGTCAAAGCTTAATGGGCGCATGTTATAGGCACTCTTGTCAACTTAACTATTTAACATCTGGAAACCGCGGTGGTTGATTAAAAAAAACATATGTTAAGTTTCATAAATCTGTACATTTTGGTGCTTCTGAAATAAATTCCTTGTGTGATAATTTTCATTTTGTTTCATGTACTAGCCAGACAGACAGACGCTGATGTTTTCGGCAACGTGGCCGAAAGAGGTGCACAACCTGGCCGGTTCCTTCATGACGGACTACTCGAAGATCAACGTGGGGGACTTGGGATTGCACGCGAACCACAACATTGTGCAGGTGGTAGATGTGTGCGAGGAGTACCAGAAGGAGGGCAAACTGATCCGACTGCTGGAGGAGATCATGAGGAGCCAGCAGAATAAGACAATCATCTTCACCGAGACTAAAAGGAAGGCGGACGAGCTCACAGGCGCCATGAGGAGAGACGGGTGGCCCTCGCTCTGCATCCACGGTGACAAAAAACAAGCCGAGCGCGAATGGGTCTTAGAAGGTTAGGCTGCATACATTCTTATCTTATATACATATACAACCCATCTTCAGCCTATCAACAACGAGAGACAATATTGACATCGCCTTGTTGTGTAATACAATTACCACTGCGATCAGCAAGGGTATTCTAATTGGGTACTAGACTTTTTTTCCCGTAAATACCATTGATTACAGGATTCATCTCATGAACTGTGTCAACAGACATATTTTGAGCATGTTATTATTTTAAATATCCGGTTTGTTTACCTTTGCGAAGCAAAGTGTTTTAGTATTTTCTTTTTTTTCCAACGTAACTCGCAAATTTTGTTGCGACTAAGTCGCAATTAATGCTGCGACTTACAGCAACATTATTTGCTGCATCGAATCGGCATGAAGATATTTTGATATTTTGTTGCACCTTTGATATTATGTTGCACCTTTACAGCTTATTGATAACATGTGCTTTGACGTTGGAATAGTTATAAGTTTACGCAGTTGATGCATTTTTAATTCATCAAGTGAACCGAAAAAAGATATTTGTTTCAAGCAACATAGTAATAAAATCTCGATTTCAGAAATTTTCTAACTCAACATATCTCGCAATTTTTTGAAAAGCATAATTTGAACATAATGTGGCTTTATGATTTGCGATTTATTGCATGCAAATTTGTATCTTTTTGTATTTGATGCTAGTTTTGCTGCATCGAATTGGCAATTTATTAGCATATGTTGCTGCGTTATTGGTGACTAATTTTTGGGGAATTTAAGCATCCGTGGCTGAATGGTTAGTGCGTGAGACTCAAATTTGCTAGGTTGCAGATTTTTGCTAATTCGAGTTTTTGCTAAGCCTCGAGTTTTTGCAAATTCGAGGCGTGTTTCTACTTTTTCTTATATCACTTGATAGAGCTGCTTTTTGGCCGTGTTCTCGCAAGTGTTTGCGAAGCGCAGCTTCGCCTCTGAGTTGAAATTTTGCTTATTATGTCGGTTCAAAATTTTACCAACTGCCTCTGTTACAATTTCATTTTTTTTTCAATTTGTTTCTTTTTTTTTCAATCGGCTTAATTTTGGCTTTTTTGTAAAGGATTAGCCTTTTATTGTAAAGGATTAGCCTTTTATTGCTTCGAGTAATTAGTGAAAAAAGTGTGAGTGTGTATTATGAGGGGAAGGTGGAATTCATTTTTTTTATTTTTTAGTTTGTGCTCAGGTATCTGGGGCTTTGTTACCGCTTGATAAATTTTTTTGTCTAGGCATTTTTTATTGCTATCTTTATTCATTTTGATAGATCTAATTGTATCGCAAAATCTGCGATGCACAGCTTCGCCTCTGTGTAAAATGTATATAATCAAACAAAGTCCAAGGGGAATTTTTGTTGTCAGGGGAGTTTTTTTCTCTGTTGCCGCCTATTTTAGTATACTGCGTAATATTCTGTTGTCGCGTATTTTAGTATCCTGCCCAATTTTTGTCCAAAATGTTGCGTTTACAGATTCATTTGAGTCTGGAAAAACAGCCTCCATGCTAAGAAACAATTTTTTTGCAAACTGATTCGGTTTATGAAATAATTGGAAGTTTTCCAACGTTTCATAGCTTGAAAAGCTTGCTTACAAAAACTGAAACTTTGCGCGGACCGATTCGGCCCGAGAAATAAGTTTCAAAAATTCATAGTTTCTTAGCTTGCTTCAAAAAGCTTAAAATTTTTTAGCGAACCGGTTTAGTCTATAAAATCAATTGTCATAACTCAAAATTTCGTGGCTTGAAAAGCTTGCTTAGAAAAAACTTCAACTTGTCGCGAACCGATTCAGTCTATGAAATAACTTGTAATAATTCAAAATTTCATAGCTTTAAAAGCTTGCTTAGAAAAACTGAAATTTTTAGCGAACCGATTCGGTCCAAGAACAACTTGAAATATTTCACAGTTTCATTGCTCGACTAGCTTGCTTAGAAAAAACTTGAACTTTTCGCGAACCAAGTCAGTCTATGAAATGAAAATGTCGTAGTTTTCAAAGTTTCGAATAGCTTGCGTCGACAAGTTTTTCGTGAACCGATTTGTTTCATTAAATATCTTAAATTATGTCAAAGTTTCATAGCTTGAATCGCTTGCTTCGCTTGCTTCGGAAAACTTCAACTTATGGCAAAAACGATTCGGTCTAAGAACTCGCTTGGGTTTTTTCAAAGTTCCTTGCTCCATTAGCTCGTGCAAAAAACTTAATAAAAAACTAAGTAAAAACCTGGAAATCACCTGAAAAGCTTCAACAGAAAAAAATTGCCATCCGGTTCTTTCTTGGACTTAACTTCAATGTTTTAAAATTTCATAGCTTAAACAGCTTGCTTAGAAAAATTTAAATTTTTCGCGAACTTTTTCGGTCTATAAAATAACTGGAAATATTTCAAAGTGTCATAGCTCAATAGTTTGCTTCGAAAAGCTTATATTTTTCGTGAACCAAATCAGTCTATACAATAACTTGGAAATGTTTAAAAGTTTAATGTTTTAAATAGCTTGCATACAAAAACTTGAACCTTTCGCGAACCAGTTCGATCTGTGAAGTAACTTGAAATATTTGATTTCATAGCTTGAATAGCTTACGAAAAAAAACTTTAATTTTTTGTCAACTGATTCGCTCTATGAAACAAGGTGAATTATTCAAAGTTTCCTTGCTTTAATATCTGGCCTAGAAAAACTTTACTTTGCGAATTGATTCGCTCTATCAAACAACTTGAAATATTTCTATGCTTTATCGCGTGAATAGCTTCCATATAAAAATCCGATTCTTTGCTTGGATAGCTTGATTAGAACAACAACTGATTGTTTGCGAGCCAATTGATTGTTGGAGGCGGGCTTGCTAGTCTTTTCGAAGTGCAGCTTCACCACTGTGTGAACTTTAAATCGTTAGTTTTAAGCAGGCGCGGATCTAGGACCCTAGAAGGGGGCGGATTTTCAAAAAAAAATTGAAATTTTGTCGACCTTTTTTTAGGTCGACCAAATTGATTTTCTGAGCTCTCCCAAGCCCCTTTAGAGACCCCGAGTTGACAAAATTTTCTGCGCCGCCCTGAAATTTAGTATAGATTAGCGCCTAAAGGCGCCTTTAGAAAATTTCTAGGGTCCGTCACCAAATATGGATATCTCAAAATAGTACAAAGGGGGATACGAATGAAACAGAGAGTGCGCATGTTATATGTTTCTCACGCGGGTGCAGCATTTTAAAAGATCGTGTTTATCAATGGTTCACGCGACATCTTTTCAAATGATTTTTCAAAAAATGGTGCGAGCTTGATGCGGGTGTTTTAGCGCATTGGCATTAGTTAACTGCGCATTTTCTAATCTGGGACAAAATAAGATACCTTAAAATAGAACGAATGCAATAGGCGACGTGGTTAAGTATAAGTGTGAAGCAACTGGAAGTGATGAAAGGGTTTTAAAATCTCCAATATTGTCCGGCCTTGGAGTTGGTTGGCTATGATGGTCTTCCTGTTTCAGACTTCAAAGCAGGACGCACTCCGATTCTGGTCGCAACTGATGTTGCTGCACGTGGATTAGGTATGAGACGAAGAAATGATGTGTTCAGCCTGCACTTCATTTTCATTTTGACTTTCAAACAAGGATGTGTTATTGTGAAGTTGCTGCAAAAGTGTTGTTGCGAACTTATGTCATTTTTAGGTACTCATAAATCCTCACACACTCCTCGAGAGTAGCTTGGAAGTTGAGTTATGCGAGGAAATGAGCGCACTCCCCACGCACATGGCCAGCATGACGTTGAAACGTGGAGAGAGATAGAGAGAGAATCGATTGTGCCATTTGGTGCTTAGAGGCGGGCGGGGATTGATTGGTAATCGTAAGTGGGAGCCTCTTTCTGTACGCATTCACTGATCATTGTATTGGGCTTCTATTTTTGTTCCTGTTTCAACGGAACTAAGGCTGTACCTTTTGATTGAGAATTAGAGTCGCACAGTGCGCGTGTCTCCCTAGGACAGACTGAACTGGCTTATTTCGGTCAGCCGGTACATCACATCTTCCTATCCTAAGAGACACTAAAGTGCACAAAATATTCAAGGAAGATAAATAAGATCGAAAGTTACAAGATACTATGTGAAGCCCTTTCGATGGTGAGTTGCGTATATGTAAAAACCTGCTGCTGCCATCGGAAAATTGAAGTCTCTGTACCATAACAATGATTTTAATGTGATTGGAAATATGCACGATTAATCATATTTTTTTAAACACAAGTAACCCTTGTGCTTATACGATCATTCCACTTTTTTCAACTTCACTTTTCTCAGTTTTTCTCTTCAGTATCGTTATATCGATACCAGAATTATAACAGAAATCAAACTGCACATATGACTTTTCTAAAAAAGAGCATTAGCGTTTCAAATATCCGTCCTATTCGATGTTTAAGAGTAATTAACGTAGTGAAGACTCTTATAAAGGTCTTGGTGATTTCTTTTTCAGGTCCTAAATTTTGTTGACGCTTTGTTTTTTTTTTGCGGTTTGTCTTGTGATTTATTTTTAAGTTCAGTGCATTTTCATTAATAAAAGGTAGGCAAACCCTGCTATCGAACTGCAAAAGTGTAAAGGTCACGAAAAACGTGATCGACTTCTAGTTTCGAAAATTTAATTTTCAGATTTCCCAGCGGAATTAAAATTTTACCTTTTGATCTAGTTTTCTCAAATTAAGTTGATTTTTTTTTTTAAAAATGGCAATACTGAATTATTTTAGAGATTAGAAGAGGTTTAAGGTCATCAATTTTTTTTTGCGAACTTCAAAAGTTTGGATTTTTTTCAAAAAACAAGTCAGTTTTTTTTTGTGTTTCTTTGCGTTCATTACTCTTTTCCAACGCTCAGTTGGCTATGTTTTTTCAGCAACCCGACTTGTTAAGAGTTGACCTTAGTCCAGATTCTTATTATGATCTGATGATTTTTTTTTTTCGGTTTTTTTTTCTGGAAAACTTAAAATTTGTTTAGGTTCAAATTTACTTTCTCGCGGACAAACTTATGATTATTTTCTAAGTTCAGTTCAATGCCTTTGCTAAGACGTAGGCAAACTCGACTATCGAACAGCAAAAGTATTTCGTTACGAAAATTTTGATCAAATTCTAGTTTCGAAAGAGGAATTTAGTTTTCAGATTTCTCAGCGGAATAAATACCTATTGATAGTTTCCTCAAATTGGGGTAATTTAATCGAAAAAGGTCAACCATATTTTGTTCTAGAAATTGAGCTTTGAGGGCATCTATTTTTTAGTTTAAAATTCTCGATATTTTTTCATTTTGTGTGATTTGATGAGCGATAATTGTTTTTGATTGTGTGGGTGTGTGTGTCTGCTTGTGAACTTTTTCGGCTTAAAGGGTTTCTACTCAGATATTTTCGGGTTTGTGACCGCTTGGTAAGTTGACGTCCGATGTTAAGCTTACATTCTAGTCTCTTGGGATAATTTTTTTCCAAATTTAGAATTTTTCATCGTGAAAGACATATACATTTTTCGACATTTTCCATTTTTCAATTTTTATTTCAACTTATCGGCTTCCTCGTATTTTATCGAAAGACATTTATAGGGGTAGCCTTTTTTTCAGGAAAAGCCTTTTTTCCTAAATTTGATTTTTCGCGGTTTGGTTTTTGATTTTCAAGTTTTCAAACTCATTTGCTAAATTGAAGCATGAATGACCTTTCAAAGTTCCTAAGGGGGTAAAAAAATTACCCCTGACCCAAATTTCTCAAATTGGGCTAGTTTTACGAGAAAAAAAAATCAATGATGAAAGATTCTTGTAACTGGGTTAGCTTTAATCAAATTTATTTGTTCTTTGAAATTTGAAAATTGTTCAGAAAAGATATATATTTTGGTTACACTCAGTCCATTGACACTTTTTCAATTATCTGTTGGCTATGTTTGTTGGTTGCTCTTATTGAGAGTCGATGAATGTACTTCAGACTATTTTTTCTTCATTGATTTTTTGTTTTTCTTCGTGAAAAAGTTTCAAAATGCTCTAATAACTACAGATGTGCATTCATACATATTGATACATTTATGAATGCACTGGGTCATTTTTTGAAATCTAATGAAAGTCATCTGCTGATAGCGCTCTCCAAATATGAACCTGGAAATGGCGCGAAAAAAGTGAACGATTTCTAGTTTCGAAAGTTATTGCTTTTTTAGATTTCCTGCGGAATAAAAGTTTTACCTGTTGATCCAATTTCTCATATTGTCTTTATAATATCAAAAAAACGCCGGTCATAAATCGATCCAGAAAATCAAAGAGCTTAAAGGGCATCTATTTTTTCTTTGAAGTACGAAAGTCAGTATTTTTGTTATTTACTTGCGTTCCTTACTGTTTTCCAATCTTCGATTGGCTGTTTTTCTCTTTTTGACTTTTTATATCAACTTGCTATATTCGCTAGTGTTTGCGAAGTTGTAGTTTGGCTGATATCATTTTTTGACTTTTATTCAAGTTTAAGTTGTTGTGAATTTCAAATAGAGCCGCCAGCAAAATGTATGCCCATGTTTCTAAAATCACATTATGAAGTGCTATGGTTTTTTGTTACTATGTTGGGGGGCTAATATGGGAAAGACCCAAATACACGTGCAAATTAAACGGAGTCTTGCTTTTCATTATTATAATGCTGGAAAAATAGGGCCTGGGAAGATGGTGCCACAAAAAAATATAAAAATATTCCAAGCTTCATAAAGTTGGTATAGCTTTTATTACGCTTGCGATTAGCAATCGTTATGAAATCGGAATATAGAGTTTTTTTGGGTTAACAACTTCTTCAACAAAATCACTTGAAGCATTTTACCTTTGGTTCAAATCAAATCAAAAATCGGACCGTTGTTCATCGCACTTAGTCTGGAGATAATATATTTACCTTTGAAACCTAATGTCAGCGGTTCGAGTCACGGCCAGATCTTGTTTTTTTTTTCAGTGGGGGAAAAATTGATTAGTCTGATTATAGTTTGTAGGCTTTAGTTTTGTCAGCTTAGATGCCAACTCAAGATGTTTTTGCGTTGTAGTCAGTTTTAATTGTAGTCTCAAGTGTCGTTGATTAGCTCCTTGTTGCGTGTTGCGGCTTAATGGACGATCAGACAATAATAAAACTTTCTCAATGATAACTGTTGTGTTTTTCGTCTGTTTTTGAGATAGTTTCTCTTAGTTCCATTTTTTTTTGATTTTCTTATGGCAACCATTTCCTTTGGTATTTTCGTTTTTGGAGGGATTGGCATATAATTAAGTGTTATTGAGTAGTGGACATTCGGAAAAATTTAAAAATTTGTCTAATACTAGTGATTGAATTTCGTCTGTTTTTCTGAGAATGATTTCGTATTTCCAAAAAAATGAACTTTTTTTATGAAAACCATTTTTTATGAAAACTATTTTTTTTGTTTTTTTTTGTTTTCGTTTCGGTTAGCGTCTAATCAAGTGTTCTTGGCTTAGTAGACGCGCGAAAAAACTATAAACCTGCTTAATTCTAGTGATTGTATTTCGTCTGTTTTTCTGAGGCTGAATTTCTTTTTCTGAGACCTTTTCTTTTGGTATTTTGTTTTCGGATCGAGTGGCGTTCTACTACGTGTTTTGGCTTAGTGGACGATAGGAAAGTACTAAAAGCTTACGTATTAGTAGTGTTTGTATTTTCTGTTTTTCGGAGTTCGAGTTTTTCGTATTTTCAAAAATATGTTGAATGTTTTATTACAACCGTTTCTTTTAGTATTTTTTGTTTTCGGATCAATTGGCGTGTAAACACGTGTTGTTCGCTTAGTGGACACTCGGAAAGTAAAAGCTTGCTTATTGATAGTGTTTGTGTTTTCCGTCTGTTTTTCTAAGATTGAGTTTTTCGTATTTCCAAAAAAGTGTTGAGTTTTTCATGATGACCTTTTCTTATGGTATTTTGTTTTTGGATCAAGTGGCATTTTACCACGTGTTTTGGCTTAGTGGACGATAGGAAAGTACCTAAAGCTTGCTTAATAGTAGTGTTTGTTTTTTCCGAGGTCTTATAGATTTTTTTGTTTTTCAGGAAAAAGTCTTACAAATTGTTCAAGCACATTTTTGAGTTTTGCTGTTTGACTTTTGATTTCATCATAAATTGACTTCATTTTTTTTGTTGGAAGGAGGACAAACTCCAATATTAAACAGCAAAATTGTAAAAGTCTTGATAATCGTGATCGACTTCTAGTTTCGAAAATGGAATTTAATTATCAGATTTTCCAGCGAAATAATGAATTTACCTATTAATCCAGTTTTTTCAAAATGGGTTAATCTGTTCTAGAAATTTAACGAGCTCTAAAGCCATCTTTTTCTTCGAAGTTCGAATTTCGAAGATTTTTTTAAAAAGACAAGTCAGTTTTTTCTGTGTTCTTTCGTTCATTGACTCTTTTCCAACTGTTTGTTGGCTTTGTTTATGTGCTTTTGGAAAATTTAAAATGGATTATCTTAAATAGTACCAAAGGGGTTCTCTTTGGATGGTGAGAAGATTGAATCCTAAAAGCAGGGCAGAGGTCCGCTTTCACTCTTAATCCACCACTGTTTTAACTCCTATCTCAGCCCCTCCCATT